CCCTGCCCATGGCAGGGGGGTGGAACTTGATGATCTTTAAGGTCCTTTCCAACCCAAACCATTCTATGATTCGAAGGAAGCAGAAAAAAGAATTATTTTTAGAGTTTCTAATAAGCACATTTCCATGCCCTGAATTGGGAGAAACAAAGCCCAAGCTTCATGGTATCTACTGAGTATTCTGTATATTGAGAAGAACTCGTCGGCCAACCCTCCTTGCACACCCAGTCCCCGCACAAACAATCTGCAGATTTGCTGAGACACTGGCAACAGCTTTCTGCTTTTCTCCCAAAGGTCAGATGCAAGGCGATGCTGGAAGGGTCTAGGTTGGGAAATATTCTTACAAAAAAGTTTCCTTCCCATCAGCACAATTTCTTCCTCTGATCCTGTTCTGATTCTCTATTTTCTAAAGCTGCTGAAACATTTTATCATAAAGAATACATGGCAGCAAGAATCCCTTACAAACAACAGTTTTATTTTCCAACACATTAGAACAACATCACACCCAGGAAAACCTACCAGGTAGCCTGTTTGATCATCCTCTGCCCTAAAAGCTTTACTTATATTTTTGGATTTAAATGAGCGGAGCCAGTGCAATTATGACGCAATGAAAAGCAAAAAGGTTTTCATTTGCATCTACTATATTTTAAGCAGTACTGCCACGTGTCAGGAAATAAAAGCCTGATCTTGCAACGTGGCAGTATCCCTCACACAGCTCATGTTGCTACGTGCACGTGTGACTTAATAACCAAGCGGGGAGCTCGACTTACTTGTTGTCACTAATAAAATCAATAATTTCCTGTTCCATTTTCAAGAGGATCATTCTGTCCCTGTCAAAAAAGAAACAAGGATTTGTAGCATCCATGACCAACAGATATTTTAGATGAAAAAAAATGAATCAATGTTTGTAAGGCAATTTTACAAGCGTTGTCAGCTGTCTTAATTAAAAATGAAACATGCTTTGCCCTGGCACATCCGGAGAAGATTGCAACCTGTTTTGCTGCACCTTTGCTTCCATACGAGACAGATTTAGGTCTTCCTTGAGCTCAGCTATGGTCTGAGAGCACTTCCAGCCACACCAGGCTGTGATCAACGCATCGCATGGACAGATTCCAACTGCTATGGATAGCTTTGGCCCTTTTTCACTCTGTTGATGGAAAATGAGATTTCCAGGTAACCTAGCTCTTTCATGAGGAGAGCTGCTGCTCACAGAAATTTTCAACATTTTGTCTGAAATGTCTTTTACAAGACATTGATCTGCAGGGATAAGTCTGAGCACATCTAATCGAGTTAGAGAGAGCACAATGGAGAACACCAACTTTGAACCACGGCTCCCAGGAGGCAATGCCACAGCATTTCTCAGTCAAAACACTCCATCTTCAACTGAAAGGGCTCAGATGTTCCTTATCCCCCAACTTTGTCTGCCAAAAACATTCAAAAATTTCCCCAGCATATTTCCACATACACATTTTTTCCTAAGCTTGATAGAGTCCATCACTCCTTAGTTCTTTTGAACTTTCTTATTTTGTGCAAATAAAACAATTCAAGGACCTTCTGTCATATATACAAGAGATTAGACAAGCTATTACGTACCCAACTATTCCTAGTTCTCCTCTAATTGGAGAATTACATTGTACCTCTTCAACAGATGCAATTGAAATGAAGGTTGAAAATCACAGCTTATAAAAAGGTTACAGGCCCTTCCTGAGGGTCAGACATTTTGAGGCAAATTTAACAATGAGATGGACTTGCTGCTTCAAATTAAAACTATGGAAATACCAAGAGCAGAATTTGGCACCATGCACAGGATTTTGATTGTGTACAGCATTGCCGAAAGAAAGCGACTTCATATTCATATAAAACTCTCTAACTGCAATGGTTATAACATATTACTGCTAACATCACGTAGAGCTACAGGCAAGAAGGTAAGGACAAAGACCAGATGCTGACGAAAGTGAAATTAAGCAACAGGCAACTGGACGAGGGAGAAGTTGATGACTTTTTATAGCTTTTTGCTCAGGTAACAGCCTACCTCCTTTGCATTTTCCCTCCTAATCATGTCCAGAACTAACAAAACACAGTGTACAGTTACGGGAACTCGAAGACTGACAGCTGTAATTTTAGGAGTGACAGATCTAATGCAGAAAATACCTACCTGGGGTTATTCTTTAATGTGTTAATGAGGAACTCATGCAAATCTATGCCTGTTGAGTCTGTATACTCTTGACTGCAATCTGAAAAACAAAACCAAACACCCCCCCACTCATTTATTTCAACAGTTACGATTAAGCTATGCTATAATCAAAATCCATTTTCCAGACACAATCTGAAAGCATATGCTCTGAAAGACAACGTCCATTTAGAGTTCATCCAAAAGAGATCTATGCTTGGAAGCATTAGGTGGACGTACACAGTTCCTCTGTACTGAGAACACAGCACCAAAACTACACACCATCAGAAAGTGCTGGTCATTGGAAAATCATGGGAAACCTTCAATGCCACTTAAGACCCTGCCAAGTTCTTCCCTGTAACTACTAAATAAAATTTAAAAAAAAAAAAAGTTTTATTCATCAATGTCTACTTGCCTCACTTAATCTATGCTGTACACACGGCAGATGAGGCACCACGCCAATGAGAATTCTATTTGCATTAACAGACTGAAATCCAGTGACGCCCGAGTGTGGGCGGGTAATGGGGATGCGTGACAGTAGTCAGAATTAATTTTTCAGCATTGCTCTATTGCCTGAGTCAAAAGTACACCTAGATCCTCAAGCTGGCGTGAACTGTGAGAGCTCCATTGAAGCCAACTGACAATTCACACCAGCTGCAGATCCACATCCAGGTAGGCAATGATTCTTTTTGAGAGATTACACTGCAACTTGATACCATGAACTCATAAAAAAAAATTTATTTAAAAATACCAAATTTAGATACAAGATTTTTCTGAAGAAGTCTTAGCAGGTGATAATAGCAGATTGTGATGCAGCTTAAAGGTCACAGATGGATTTCTTTACAGCATTTAAGAAAAATTCTCCATGGGAGAGGAGCAACAGAGAAGAGAATTACTCTCAGCTGCATACATTGCACAATATATATGTATATTATATATAATTACACTATATATATATACATAAAAAATTATGCCGGTATATTATCATTAACTGGGGAAATAGCGTTATCAAGAGCCTTTACACTTATTATATAAATCACACGTATGTTTTATACCAACACAGTTGACTATTCAGAAGAATGATTTTTACATTTAGGAAAATTAATAACCTCCAATACTAAAACTTAAGTTTGGAAGGTTTCTTCACTTTCAAAGTCAGATCGACTGTATGAAAAACACTCTCACACATACACATTTCACGTTCTGAATTTTCTTAATGTATGAAACCACTTCTGTGGTGTCTTTATACACAAATTAAGAAATGTATGCTTATAAAAACATACAACATTTTTTACTTCTATTTAAATATTTTAAGTTCACCTTTTGTTAACATTCTGATCTTGTTCTTTTCACTGTTTTTATCTTTTTCTTTATTTTTATCCTTCTCTTTTTCTTTCTCGGAGTCATGTTTATTAGATTTATCTTCTTCTTGCAAGCTAGGAAAACTTGAAAGCTGCAGTTGGATTGATTCCTGTTGGGGAAAAAAAGAAAGAGAAATTTAGGGCCAGATTCAGAAAGCTTTCCATGGCTTCCAACCTGCAGAGATTTGCAGTTATAAACTATGTGTAGCTAGAAAAGTTGAAGCCAGATACATTTCTTTCCTATTTGAAAATGTCGGGGTTTTTTTTTCCAGGAAAATAATGACATCTTAGAGGCCAAATTCTACTGGTAAGTGTATTTCTTCCCTAACATTTGAATACGATAAACTTTTGCTCTACTTATATTAAAGGCACTATGTTATTCTACACTTTAGTAATTCTCACTTAAGACTTATTAGAACAGTGAAATAAATTTTATATGGGCTTTAAGTAATTCTGTAATTTAATCAATACTACACATGTTAAATAATGATCAATGGATAGATAATCTGAAAAATATAACTTTTTCCCCCTCAATAAAAAACCTGCAAGTTCACGTGTAGCACATGTAAGCTCAGTATTAGCTAGACTGAGCTTTCAGACTCTGATAATAGAAGTGCCATGAAAATTATAAACTCAGTTGTATACTAACCTACCAGGTACCTTAAGACATATGCAAACCCGCCTTTAGTAAAAGAGGTGAAGTGTACACTGTGATTGTCAAACAAGTTGTGGGAAGTTAACTTCTCCAAGGCATCACAAGTTTTATTCTCAAACCTTCAGTATTTCAGAGACCATGAGCCCCTTTAAAAGCATGCTTCAGCTTTAAAAAGTTAATTAAAACTGAGAGTTCAAGCTGGTTTGTGCTTCCAGTTCCCTTTAAAGAACGTGTTATTCCCAACTTACACATGACTTTATATTGGCTTTGTTTTAAGAATAACACAAACTGCTTTCTTTTGAAGTTACCATGGTGTAATTAATATATTTCAAGACAATACAAATCTGGTTGGACAAAATTTAAGAAAGCATACTTCTGTGTTCATTATCTTTTGAAGAAAAAAAAAAAATGGCCAAAATAATACTATATGCTTAAGTTCTGTAAAAAAAGCACCTTTGAATTAAGCTGTCACAAACCTCCCTGGCAGTTTTCTTTAACAGAAGAGAGTCTGCAAGCCTGACAATTTTTGGCACCATGTTAATGAAAACCAAATTCACCAATACTGGAGAATATCAGACTTTCTTGAATGCCAGTAAATTACCTTCCTTCACAATTTTTCAAAGAATACTAGCATACCAAAAGATCAACACCGAACTTTCAAGTAAGGGCTGGTTTTCTTTAAGCAACCAGATCATTCTGAATTCAAAAGATGCCTTGAATAACTATTACAAATTTTATGCTTCTGAATTTTTTAAAGAACTACAAATGAGCCAGCACAACACATGGAAGACAAGATCCTAACAGAACAAGGTATCAGCATAAACATGCCACAGTTAAGACAGAATCGGTATTTTCTCAGCTTCATCATTATCGACTTTTTGTGAAGTTCGAATGTGGCACAAAAGACTTGAGATGAAAAGCACTGTCAAAGAGAAACAAAGCCCTAGAGCCAAAATTTAAACTGAACTACCGTCCTTAATTCCTACTTCTGTTAGTTTTGTCAAAAAACTAAGTGTACAGAGGGGAAGAGTGGGAACTCCTCGTCATCTGAGACAAGGATATGTAGAAAAATGTTTGCTAACCTGCTCACTTGTACTTGGAGGACTAACATTATGCCTGCTTTCTTTCCCTTCAAATTGCAGTTCGATGTCTCATTCAAACAACAAACTTTGGATCAACCACTGCCAAAAGACCCCAAAGGATAACTGATTCCCCACACTGCCCGGAACGGAGCGACTGTGCTGCTGGCTTTACAAAACAGGAGAAAAATGTAACTGGCCATGCTGTTCCCAGGACTTTAATCCTAACCTTCATAGTGGTTGTTAAAAGGCACTTATGAAAAGAGAAACAACAGACTTTACACATAAGCACATATATGAACATACAGTAGTCTTACATGTAACATAATATTTCTCTATTTGCACTAGAAGGAACACACAGAAGGGCTGTAGAGTCGTGAAAGAAAGCTATTGTATATTTTCTTATATTTTTATTGATTTTTACCAATAATAAAATACAATGTTAATAAATACATTGATACAAAGGAAGTAAACAACAAAATAAATGTTCCAATTGCAATTAATACACTTCTTGGTCAATAGTATAACATTAAAGGCAACACTCCTTTCAAGTAAGGACATAGTGAACCATCAGGTAAGCGTTCAAGATCAAGTAATACAGGTAAACAAGGTGTGTTTTTTTTTTTCCTATACAGGAAAATGAAGGCAAGTATTCAAATATAAATACAAACATCAAGTTTGCAGTACAATCCATACTCAGTAGTTCTGACAACGTACCATACATTCTCTAGTAATTAATTCCCTGTGCTTTGTAAACCATTGAGATAAAACAGTAATTAAAAAAAAAAATCCAAAACAAAAATACACTTTTTCTCCTCTAAAGTGAAAGCAAAGCAATTTGGTTGACACAAAACTTCTTGTATCCTTCAGCCAGTCAAAGGAGGAGCCTGCAGGTCCAGCTTTCCGTGGCAAAGCTGAGCCGCACTCACTAGTAAAAGGTCAGCGACAGCAAAAGCGAAAATTCCTACCCAAGTAATTATACCAAGCCAATCGTGTCTTTAGGAAATGCACGCTGGGGTCCAGGGAGGCATTTTATCTCCCATCAATGCTTAGATATGGTCAAACAAATCTTTGCCATGGCTTATCAAAGACAGGTAAGACCAGAGACTGTGTAACAGGAACCCCTCCTCTGCCTGGTGTGGGGGTGCAACCTGGACGGAGATTTTACCTCCCAACCTGCCAGAGGCTCTGATGTTTAATACAAGTCCTGTGCAGTACATTCTAAACTACCATGCGATGCTTCATACAATCTCTTTATATTATTCTCCTGTCCATTCTCCATTAAACAATAGAAAGTACAAATGAAAGCAGAACAAAAGCCACGCATCTTGAGTAATGCAAGTTAAGCAGAAAGCATATACCTACAACAGAACAACTGATAAAATAACCTGCCCATCGACTGCATGAGCATCACTGTAGAGCAGCAGAACATGGAGACGTCCCCCTGCTAAACCACCTGGGGTTTGGGTCCTTAAAAAAAAATTAAAAAAAAAAAAAAAAAAAAAGAAAAAACCTCTCCATACTTCTGAGCTAAGAGGAGAGCTGGATTTGTTTCATTTCAAGTCAATAGAGGAAACTGTGAGAAAGTACACTTAAATGTGATTTTTTGTTTTTGTGCTAAGCTCACCAGAAGTCGCTTGCTCAAGCTCTCTCGATGGCTGATCTCATTTGCACATAAACATCTCATAAATTATAGGCAGTGCTCATGATATTTTGGGGTTTGTTTTTTTAAGCCTTGCTTTTACCAGGCAAGAAAAGAAGACATTTTGAGGTTTTTATTTTTGCTTTTTGGTGTGTTTTTTGAAGTGGGTCTACAAAGACTGCCACCAGTGTTATTGTCCGAGGTGCGGGGTGCAGGGGACAGAACTCTACCAGCTGCTGGGAATATGACATTACCAGTACAGATAAACTCAAATACATGCTTTTTGAAACTGGAAAATCTACACCAAGAGTTTATAAAATGAATTCCACTCAGTAGGAGGCATCCTTGGCTCTACCAAAGTATTTCGGAGAGCAAAGGACTTGTGAATTTTATGTGAAGGGGGACACTGATATGTACTGGAGTCTCAAAGGAACCAGAAACCAGAGCATATTCATCACAGTATCTGGTGCAGCCTTGAAAGAGATAGCCTTAGAGAAAAGAACATATTAATATTCTTTTTCATTGTTACTATCTTTTTTTTTTAATTTTAAAATCTGAATTCTTTTGAATTCTTTTCCATTTGCTGAAATTTTCAGGGGGTCTGGAAAAAAAAGCAAACAACACCCTGTGATATAGTATAAAACTAATATTTCAAAGTAAAGTTCACGCTAAACCAGATAACTTCATTGTCAGATGTAATTTTTTTTTCCCCCCCAAGAAAGACATTGTTAAATGCCCAATTAAGTAACACAATCATGCAACTGAACGTGGAGGTCTACCATGCAGCTAACAGCGATGATTGCAAATGTACCTGATTATCATGAAGATTTTCCACTCCCGGGCGAGGGGATGATTCTTCACACACAGCAAGACTCCGGACGAGTTTTCCTTTAGCTCCTGACTGAATAAGAAAGAGAAAACAAAACAGAGAACACTGCTACTGACCCCAAGCCATGTAAGCTGCACACATCAGCTGTCCCTAAATATCCCAAATAACTGCTACCCACCCAGCCAGCAACATCTTATGTGCCTTTGATGTGAACAGGAAAGGATGCTAAGCAATGAGCCATTTGCCACACACGGGAGGTGGTAGACTCCTTTTTGCTTTCAATCGTTTCTGCTACAGCTCACCCACTTCCACCAAAAATCAGAACAGCAAAGAATATTGAATACAATACTGAAGGTAATTTAACAAAGTTAAACTCAAAGGTTCCTTCTGCCATTTGGGTTTGAGTTTTTTTGGGTTTTTTGTTCCGGGTTTCCCCCCCCCCGCCACCTTCTTCTAGTAGTATTATATCCAGACAATAAAATGTGCAAGTTTTACAGATCTGCACTTGGAAAATTACAAGAAGTTTTTTTTTTTTTTTCATTTTGGTGGTAGGGTTTTTTTTTTGTGGGGTTTTTTTGTTGTTGTTGTTCCTAGAAGCTCCCCCGCCACCTCCCCTTAGGAAGCTAGTCAGTCTCTGCTTCTTTATGTCAAGATTCATCCACTAAAATAAAATTCAAACAAAACCATTAATTACTAAAGCATAAGGAACGAGCTTCTTCCTTCCCAAGCATACATGCTGTCTAACATAAGCACACAGCGAGCCCAGCAACATAAAAGTATAATGGATAAATAATGGGGAGCCCGACATGTTTTATCTACAGAAAGTCCTCTGCCTTTGTGCAACAAGATTATTGGGAAAAGAGGAGAAAACAAACTACTCCAATGACTGCCCAAGTGATGAAAGGCTGTAACTTCAATTGCAGACAGACATTGGATTGAAATTCTTTATCCCACCACGGTATGCAATTCCAAATAGAGATGGACCCTTACCTTGGATCTCTTTTTCTGCTGGTTCTGATTTGCACCTCGTTTCTGGGTACAGCAAAAAAGATAAGTAGTTATTGCTTCAGTGGAAAACATGCATGACAAGAGTATTACCAATAAATAAAGACACTAAATCACTCCTAAGTGATATTTTAATCATTTGCTGACTGCAAAAACTACTTCCCCAAACCCAGTTTGGAAAGCAGGGAAAAGCAAAAATCATCTCTGCTCCCTTTATTCATTTTAAGAACAGGTATAAACAACAAAAACACACTGCACAGTGTTCTGTAATTTTGCATATATTAAAAATGTAAGAAAAAGCATACTTAAGTAAATGCTCCCTCTCTCCAAATTTCCTCTTAAATTGTAGTCTCCCCCTTTATTTTTATATTCGATTGAGCAAAAAGGATTAAAACCCCTCATCCGATAGAGTCTTCTTATCAAATTACCTTCTTAGGCTTTGCATAACAACTTTTTGGTGGCAGTAAAACCTACAAACCAAACCACACATTAAGTAATTATTCAGTAGTATTACCTGTAAAATCATGAGATCAAGGTAGCTTTCTAAATCCCCAAAGAGGGAAAACAGTCAAATATTTCACCAAGCTTTAAACACAGACGTCTAGGAATTAACTTCTCAGAAAAATTAATAATATGGACAGCAGCCTAAAGAGCTTGAAAGGTATAACAAATAACAGCATTTATTTTATAGGAAGATAAAAGGACCCAAAAGAAACAAATGAAAAAAAAAAAAAAAAGAGAAACAGTCTCGAAAATTTGAGAGAAAAAATAGGGGAAGCATAGGCAATGAAATAGATCATAGAAATGGAAAGGCAATGGTAACACACTGATATTTAACAAGCCCATTCACTATTCCGATCTTACCTGCAGCTCTGTCTTGGCATCGCTCAGCTTCTCCTCCTTCTCCTCTACTTCCGAGCTTTCTGATTTATTAAGGATACAGTTGTCTGGGTTCGCATCGGAGATGGCAGTGTCTTGCTCTTTCCCAGCTTCTTCTGCTGTCTCCTGGTTCAATTTACCTTGCTCAGACATTCTTCCAGACAGAAATTAAAATAACAAGATTTGGTGACCTGAAAGGTCAAGATATCACGACACAAACACACAAAAAAACACCGAGGGTGAATTTTCTTTTATTTTTTTTTTAATTCCCAAATAAGTAATTTCATTTAGGTTGATAAACAAACCAAAATACACAGCTCAGGAGAGGAAAGCTATGTCCCAGATGAAGAGATGTACTGACTTGACAATACTGGATAACAGCAGAATTGTGTCAGGTTAAGCAAGCAGAGCTCCAATCTAAACAGTCTTGGTGGAAAGCAGATTTAAGGTGCTGTGAATCCCCAGCCCTGGTGCTCAGCGGCACCAGGGAGGAAGGACCCATTGAGACTTCCAGGTCTCTGGCATCTCAGTGCTCCCCTCCTCTAGATTTTTTTCCTCTTTTTTCCTTTTTTTTTTTTTCTTTTTTAACAAAAAAGGAATAGCCAAATAAGCAAAACAAACAAATAAAAACCAAGCATGAGCAACAACACTGCTTTTAGCCCTCAGCCATGGTTTCTGTACATGGAAGAAGCCCATGGTGCACACAACCAGTTAAAAAAAATATTCGAAGAGGCAATAATTCAATATAACTATGAAATCTGAATTTGGCAATAAAGCTTTCAGGGTCAACGTTTTCAGGCATCAAAATGACAGCTCCATTATTAAAATCATAAGCCTCTTCCCAAACCCCACGTCGCTCTCCAGCACTATGAAAATCCTACAGGAAGCCCTTGGCAGGTATTTCTAATGAAGATATCTTAACTGAACTGCATTTACTCTCAGCTCACAATGGGCTGTTGTACAGAAGCTTTAAAGGCTTTTCAAAGTTAAAGCCTATTATTTTCTTATTCTTTCTCTCTTTCCCCTCCCAGCTCTCTCTTGAAGCCTCCCCACTGATCAATTGTCAAATGAGACTCATGAATAATTTAACTTTTCTTTCCCCATCCATTTGGCTTAAGAAGTATCTTCAGAAAAAACAACCGCGGTTGAGAAATTGAGTTATTTCAGAAAGGGTCTTTTGCAATACCTTCCCACTTCTCAACAATGACACAGTGGCTATTAAGCAAAAAACACACTTTCGCCATGTTTCTTTTTACAGCTTGTAGCTAACATTCAACAGATCTGATATCACTTGCCTTCATTTGGTAAGCCATGTTTTAAATGAAAAAAAAATCCGAGTTTTAAAAACTTACTTTTTAAAATTGTTCATTTTGTTTTCATATTGTAAGCAAATAAAATAATAAAACCTGTCCTTTGTGATCTACCCACTTGAGAAGGATTGTGGATTTTACAAGAAATGAAGCTACATGGTTCATAAATAAACCAACTGCAAGATGAAGCTCACAAATTAGCTCACAGTAAGCCAAGTCAAGCTTCGAGTTGCTCTCCTTCCTCCCACCACCCTCCCCAGGAAGTCCCCTAGCATTGGCTATTCTGCAGTTACAACTCAAACTAGAAGCGCTTTGCTAAAAAATCAAAACACGATGAACGGCAAGACCTGAAACTGGTCTGTTAAACAACCCTTAATTTGTTAAGGATTTACACCAAGAAATGCACATGCACGCACAAACTCTTCAACAGGCGTATTACCCCCGCAGCTCATCTACGTGCTTACACAGAGTTCACAAAAACAATTACACTCGTAGTTTAATCAGCTGCACCAAAGAAACCATTTACCTGAAAAACTGCTATAATGCCCACTGTCTTTCTGGCGTCTTCTGTTGCTCTTCGCTGGTTGAGTCCACACAAATGATCAATGACGACGTGAGTCCCATGTCCCCATTAGCAGGTCAGAGCACCCATGTCCACGCTGGTCTTTCAGAGAGTTTGACGGATCATGGTCAACCTGAAAAAAGACGAAAAGTAAATAACAGCAAGGGTAATGATCATGCTACAAGTTAAGGATGCAAGAGAGAGTACCAGATTTCTAACATAAATGACCAGCTTCAAGCAAATCACTTTCACAGCTTGATCCAACTCCACCTGTCTCAAAACTGCCTTCTTCTCTAAAGAAGGCTGGAGCCGGCTGTTCAAGTCATAACAGCTCCTACGCAAGGAGCTAAAATTAACAATTGCATTATGCACTGAAGATTACTCACTTCAATTTTAACCTTTTTTAGTGAATTCCAGCACTTTTCATTAAAAAAAAAGCATTTATACATATTTATATACAAGCTCATCTGTTTGCTTCAACAGAAATCAATGAGGGTATGAGGAAAAAGGAGTTGCTTGCTCTTGAACTACGGCTTCTGCTCCAATTAAAATTTCAACAGTCAAACACTATTGAAAAAAGAAACTAGGTGGGTGCTTTTAGAAACTGACCTCCCTAGCAAGGGTAACGCATCGAGATGTTCATTTAATAAGGCAAAAAAAGTTGAAATTCTCAAGAATGGGAGGAGAAGAAAGAAATCCCATTCCCTGAACAACGGCCACCAGGAAAAAAAAAAAAAAAAAAAACAAAAAAAAAAAACCAAAACTCTTTTGAGGCACTGTGTGAGGAGGAAAAAGGCGATCTCCAGGTTATGGTTTGGAAAGTAAACCTGAAGAATGAATTGCCTCAGCAATGCAATTTGTGTTCTTCATCGGGATTGTGCTTGCCAGCTAGCTGATCGGACAGAAAAGGAACATTTTGGGATGAGTCAGATTGATTCACAGGCCATGGACATATGCCGAACTGTCTTGATACATCAGGCACCTCTTCTTAAGGCTTGTGTACGAATCACGGGTGAAACAATTAGTCCAAATACACAAAAACCAGCAAATAGGAGGAACCGTTCTGTTCTACTGTTGCACATGGTTGCAATTGCCGTACTGTATGCAGCAGTGCACTGGAACTCAGCAGGTTAAAAGAGCTGAATTTCATGCACCAGAAATGGAATTTAGCCTTTCACAAAATCAAGTCCTGCTCTCTCTCTGGGAGCTCAGGCACGCAGAGGAGACCAGCAGACAGTTCAATAAACTACCACTGCCACCCTGCAGATTTATAGACATGAAAATATCTATTTTCCTCAAATCACTTAAGGATTTGTACAAAAGAATACAAAGTACAACTGTACAGAGTAATACAAAGTAAGTCTTCCCACTCACTTTTTGCTGTTTCACGCAGGACATTTGCAGAGATTTTATCTCACTGACAAACACACTTATAGGCTCATGATGAGAGTGGAAGAACAATATGGAAAATCATGCCAAACACTCAAGCACATACAAATGTATTTCAGGGAGACAATACCCAGAAAAGAGTGAATAAACCACTGACTGAAAAACCTTTCTTCATAACCATCTTCTACTAACCCTTTCCCTCATACTTTCAAAAAAGAAAAAAAAATATAAATCAAACAAAACCAATCAGAAAACAAAAAACCCATGGAAATCCATTGCACTACAGTTTCACCTGGAACACAGCCAGTCAGGGGATAGACCATTGCAATCAAAACCCTCCAAAACTAACTGAGAAATAGATATCTGTACCAAAATCAGGACATAAACAAATTATTTCAGGATTCTTCAGTGTTACCATGTATTGTGAATTAACTATTCATAAGACAAACAAACAGAGCAATACAAAAACCAGACAACAAACCAACCAACTAAAGGGTGTCACATCCAGCAAGTGAAGAGATCTGCCAAGACTTCACTAAACAGCATTTCTGGTCTTGTGCCATAGATACTCAACATAATCTTATCATGCTTTACCAAAGACATATTTCTTCATAAACTGAGCTCCCCATATTGTTACACTTAAGAACTCTGATGCCAACATAATTTTTCATCAGCAAGGTACAAGACGACCATTGAGCCTTAAATTAAAACAACAAAAAAAAAAACCAAACCCATAAATATCCCCAAGAAAACAGAAGCAAGTGAAAAATAATTTTATGGTGTGCAGCTACCATTTTTCAAACCCACTGACAGTGTTTCTTAGGATGATTCCTTAAAAAAATCCTTCTTAATTATCTTCTGGGGTGGGGAAGACAGGAAGAACCAAGATGTATAGCAGTCACAATCGAGCTCTTCACCTTCCCTCAATATAAATTTCCTCCTCCTCCTCCATTAGGCAATTTACAAGCCATGACTAATCATTTACCTATTACAATACGTAAAATAAACTTCTGGTTGTTTGGGTGGGTTTTCAAAGGGACTCCGGTTTCTATAAAATACTTTAGGAAGAGTATAAATAGCAAAAAGGAATCAGTCAGCAAATAGCCATTAAGAGCAAGACATTTTGGTTGAAAATACATCTCTCTTTTCTGTGTGTTTCCAGGATATCTGGTTATTCGGTGATGAATGCACTTTTTACTATTGTCAGTCCTGCAGTGACAGCGCTGCTATGGAAAAACATACTGGATTATTCTCTTTCTTGCACATCAACAGAAATGTCAGCGATGATTTAACTGTCAAAACGTTCAGTACCGAAGAGATGCAAAAGGCTGAACACGTGCGCTTCTGGTTTCTGATCTTCAGGTAGAAACCACAAAGCTTGTTGCTAGGCAAAAACCACCTTCTTGATGTGCAAGCGAGCAAAATTTCATAGGGGTGCTGGGATCTTAGAAGTGGTCTACGGGAGCTTGCAGCAAAATTTCAGCCTCTAATTCCTTCAAGTGACTTGAGTATCGCACACCGCAATAAAACAGAAAATATGGGTGCTCGCCAAGCCACCTGTAGAACCACTTTAACAGAAACATAACTTGTTTGTACAGAATTCGTAAGCATCAGCTGACCGGCATACATTGGAAATGCTAGGGTTTGTTTACTTTTTGTAAATTGCTTGCTTTATTAACAGGGCTTTCACTTTAGAAGCTGAGGGTACAACTGAGCTTGAGCAGCTACTGCAAGAGCTCAAAGAAACAGGGATAGAAGAAAGTATTTTGATGGTCTCAAAGGTATCATGTGCTGAAGCAGGAATTTATATGCTCCAAGAAAGTATTAACATGTCCTCTCTCAGAAGAGAAGCTGAACAGACTTTAAGGCCAAACCACATTCTCTTAACCAAGAGCAGGTAGCAGCAGGCAGGGCTGAAACCTGCCAGAGTGAAACCCAAGTTTTTTACTTCACATAAAGCTGCTAAGCATAGAGGTAAAATAATTTGAGCCTGAATGGCTCCTGTAACTGAAAATTAGCTGATGCTGATGGTACCTACGCACGAGGATCCTCATCCCATAGTGATTCTCCACTTGCGTGAATGGCTCACAGGTATGAGCCCGAGAGCTGGAGGCAGAGATGTCAGTCATGATTTCCACTATGCAATATATACCTCATCTATATGTATAAAGATAGCTGTGACTCATCATTGCTAACTAACTCATCAGATTCCTGAAAACCATTGGAAACGGACTATGGCATTATCTTAAAACTATCAGTACACACAGCCCTCAGTGTTGCCAAACTCTCATGGCTTAAGGCATAAACTTCCTGTTATTTGACATTTACTTAAATATTCCAGTTCCTACCATAAAGCAAATCTATGAAAATCTCAGGTTTCACCCTGAAAACGAAAAGCTTTAACTCTCTGTGGTGGCTTCAAAGAAAAACTGCAGGACAGAGAACTTATTGTTCAAAAAGACAAAAACCAAACTAAACCAAAATACACACCCAATCCCACCACCAAACCCCCAAAAGGCAAGTAAAATAAATCCTAGACTTTTACTTTGAGCACACTACTAGTCATTTGTCAGTCCTAGTCTTCAGGACCCACACCATTAGGCAGGCGGTACCATGTGCTCCTTCTCACTGGTTTCCCACATTTCCCACAGAAACACACGCATGCACTTGGAAGCTAATTTTGCTGCTGCACACTAACATCACCGGATAATAACCCATGCCAGCTCTCACACCAAAATGCTTTATTATGAAGAAAAATTTAAATAAAATAAAAATTGAGGCTGTGAAATATGTCAAAACCTACAAGTTCACTGGCTGTTACAAGACTAAGGACTAAACTTTAAAAAGCAAACGGCATTAAAATATTTTAAAAATAAAGGTTTGAAGCCTTACTTTATTTCCCACCTTCTTGTCTTCACTTTGTCCTCTCTCCATTATCACTACAAAAACCAACATAGTTTGCCTACATTTTCTGCTCCTCCATGCCACAGACCTTTGCAGGTGAAGGTTATTTCCACTCACTCACTACTGGCACTTTAACAGAGACTGTGAGCAGACACAATTTTTTTTCCAGGTTTTAGAGAAAGACAAGCATCTGTGTACAAGCACCAGCACAGAAGCCACTGACCCACCTTAAGCATGCCAGCAAAAAAAGCCATCAGTGGCAACAGAGGTTAAATGTGATGAAAATGGGGCAGGTGGAAATACACCGGATCAGATTTCTGATCCTGTGCAACAACCAGCTGTCTTTCACAAGAGGCGACGAGATGGTATGAGGAGCAGCATCCCAGCTAAAGCCTCTATCCTAGAATAGCACTGGCTTTCCTCCCAAACTGCATGTGAAATCCCATATTTACAAACTATTTTTTTTGAGAAGGAATGAGAAGAGTAACAAAGCAATTTTTTGTGGTTTACATCCCATTCCTTTTTCAAAAGGATCCTCTTGTTCCTAATGGATTGCCACCAATATTTTCCCCTTTAATCCCCTGTCAGAAGACCTTGTGTCAACATTATCATCTTCAGACAAGGAATAACGATGATGTTCCCTCTAGCTTGTTAGATTGCTGCAAAGCTAGAAGCTTTACCCAGGAAAATAATTACAGATAGCCTACAGGGAGAGCCTGGTTTGTTTTAATACTTAAGAAAACGCTCAAAAAAATGCATTTTTTATCTGTCACGATGACCATTTGAAGTCTTCCAGGATCAGCATGAAAACATACGAGGCTTTGAGCGATCTGGCTAATAAATGTCCATCACACAAGTTTACTAGGTACTGAATAACACCCAAACTTTTAACAAGCTAACCAGATGTACAAATCAGCACCCCTGGAATGAGTTCTTTGCGTCAACCCAACACCGCCTCATGCATTCCAAACACATATGCCAAACTGTATCTCATTCCTAG